ATTATCTTCTCAGAGAGCGACACCAACCGAAAGGCCGCTAAATTGTAATCAAATAGCCAATAAAACTATGCCACCTACAACCGTAGATTTAGACATGTCACTAAATAATCCAAGAAAAAAAGTCAAAATCCCCCGAAAGTCGACCCTGTCCTCTCCTAGCCATAAGTCCATTGGTAGAAAAGAGAAGAATATGACCCCAAATCATGCCAGCAACAACAATGGCAGTATAATTAAGCCCACATCTCCCACGGTCAATAGTATTGGCACCCACAACGTGCGAAATAGCACCATGGCCCACACTGATAACCAACGCCACAACAATGCCTCCCTCAAGAGTACAAGTGGCAATAGTCAGAACTCGACCACCAACAACTCAGGGCATTCACAGTATGGCACGCAAATAAATTCTGATCGGATATATGGTGCAAGTCTGCTGGGAACTAACCCAAAAAGCAGTACACACGAAACCCATACAAAGACACAACTGGTATCAAACAATAGGTGGAATAATAAACCATGGTCTTCACAAGGTCCCAATCATTTTTTATCCCTGCGTCCCTGTCAGCGTTGAAAAAACAGCTGGTAGGGATGCTAACACTCCTAAACCGCTAGTGCTGGCTCCCCCTTTGCATGAATATAGGAACAGTCTAGTTCACCCGCATCCACTAAGCACACTTGGTACATGAACAAGTTTAGGTCAAATAAAGATCCCTACCCACGTTTCTAGCTTTACTAAAAATAAAAGTGCCTTAGCCTATAGCAAATCCAGTACTCCAACGCTCAATTCTTCACCGAAAACAGCACACACCAACTCGATAGACATAGGTGAGCATGATGTTGAAACTCCTCTTAACATAGGGTTATCATGTCAAAAAGTACTACTGGGTGCTGAACCACATTCGGGGCTGATTAACGAACTTAAGTACCTCAAATGCTATTTCAAAACTCATCTTTACCTAATCATCATAAATGCTAGATCCGTTCTAAATAAACTACCGATGCTCAGAGCACTCACAGTAATATACAACCCCCCTATAATTGTCATCACTGAATCCTGGTGTAACTCGAACATACTGGATGAAGAGATAAGCTTAGATAACTATACACACTTTCGGTGTGACAGGGAAGGTGGTAAGGAAGGAGGTTGCCTCATGTACTTTCTGAATGCACTTACTGTATCACGGCTAGAAAGTAGTACACTTAACATGCCTGAGACTTTATGGGTTAACTTACACTTAAATAACGCAATAGTATTAATTGGATGCACCTACAGAGCACCTGGTACCTTTAGTAATTACGAGACCCAACTTATTAATACTCTGGAACAATTATCCACCCTACACTACGATCATAAGATCCTATGTGGAGACTTTAACTTACCAGAAATCAACTGGGAAATACCCACAGGTCCAACTAAACTTGATAAGTTCTTAGGCTGGAAGCAGACTGTCACAACCCCTACAAGAGGTAATAACGTACTAGACTTAATCTCCTGCCACAATATAAGTCCCCTTTCTACCCTAGTATGTTCTGAGTTTTCAGGGAGTGAACACAAAACAGTGCTGTGTGCACTGCCACTTCCGTCAAGTAGCAATGCAACCCATACCCCTACCTCACAACAAATAACTTACAGGAACTACACTAAGGCAGACTGGACTCTAGTAAAATCAATGCTAAGATCCTCAGAATGGAGAGAGTACCTCTATACTGATAACCTCTCGAAAGCTCTAGACATCTTTTACTATAACTCCAACACATGCTTAGATGCTGTCATCCCATTTCAAACACTAAAGTTTTCCCCACATAGAAAGTCATTCATAAAGCCAAAGGATCGTAGGAAACTGAAGAGACTGTCAACAAGCTACTTCAGACGACACGACTTTAGTACACTAAAGGTCAATATTTAGTACTCTCAGCTCCATCTCGCAAGCTCATAACTTGCGTATGAGAAATGAAGAATGCACGGCACTAGCCAGCACCACCAGAGTAGGTGCTCTCACAGAAATACTAAAGAAACGAATGAATCGCCAAAGCCATAAAATTTCCCTCCTTATTAACAAGGACATACTATACAGCAAACATGCAGACATGTGTGAACTGTTTAATGAGACGTTTGCAGCTAACTACCTTAAGCATACAAGTCCACTTCTCGGTTTACAATCTACAATAGAACTCCCTCCTTCTTCAACGCTGAAACAAATCACTACAATTCATTTCACTTATTCTAATATTAACCAAGCCATTAATACTCTTAAAATCTCTAGTAGCGCTGGTTTTGACGGTATACCCTCGTATCTTTATAAACACGGTGGTTCTGACATTTCCGTTTTATTACTTAAGATTTTTACAATGTCCCTAGAAAGCCAAACCTATCCAGATAAATGGAAAACCACATTTATAGTACCCAAACACAAATCCGGATCAAAAACTGAAGTCAACAACTATAGGCCAATCAATATTACACACGTAGTATCTAGAATCATTGAAAGAATAGTTAAAGATGATATCCTCAAACATATGCTCAGCTGCAATATTCTAAGTCCCAACCAACATGGATTCCTAAAATCAAGATCATGCATGACATGTCACCTTGACCTCTTTAACTATATAACTAGCAGCCGAGACAAACAACAACTAGTACTAGTCATCTACTTTGACATCTCCAAGGCCTTTGACCGCGTTGACCATTTACTTCTAACAAATAAGCTGAACTCCTTAGGAATACGTAACCCATTATTAGGATGGATTGAATCATTCCTTAACAATAGGTCACAAGTACCTAGACTGGGTTCTGTAAACTCTAAACCTAGTCCAGTCACTTCTGGAGTAGTTCAAGGTAGCGTCTTAGGCCCACTCCTATTCACTCTGTATGTCAACGACATATGCAGCTGTTTCCCACTTGGAAAACCATTCATCTTTGCAGATGATCTTACAGTAGCTTACACATTCCACCGTGATGACTTAGGGTGCTTTCAGAAAGCTGTTCAGGAAGAACTAGATAGAGTAACTGCATGGTCCTCCACACGGAACCTAAAATTCAACCTTAGAAAATGTGGTTGGATCTGTTTTGGTGTGCCCTCAATAAATATTAAACTGGTACTTGAATCTCTTGACTTGCCTAAACTCCAAAGTGTTGCTGACCTAGGACTCAGGTACTCTAGTGACTTGACATTTTCTGAGCAAGTGGCGACACAGACGCGTAAATCGAGGATGCTCTTAGGATGCATACTCAGGAATTTCCACAACTACGAAGTGAAACTATTATTATATAAAACTTGTGTCAGACCACTACTTGAATATTGTCCATTTATTCTCAGCAGCACTCGCGTAAGTGACAAACTTGAAATAGAAAGTGTCCAACGATACTTCACGTCTACTAGGATTTGACCGCGAAAAGGACTACACATCAAGGTGTATAACTCTAGGTATCGACCCACTCTGGATGAAATGACTGAGCATTAACCTAACATTCTTCTTTAAAATCTTGCATAAAACATTCTCAGACAGTAAGGAGATACAGTTCTCACCGGAAGGCTCTTACAACCTCCGTAACCAAACGTGCACAGTATCTAGGAAAAGCTGTAAGACAGCACTCCGTGCAAACTTCTTCATAGTCATGTACTCTAAGATCTGGAACAGTTTACCCCTAGAAATAAGGACCTGTCACTCTATCATAACCTTCAAACGCTTGCTATATAAACTGCTTCATCCAAATGACTATGCCAATCACACCGCACCACTTATTTCTTAAACGCATGAGCTATTAGAACACTATAACGCCTAGACTCATTACTAAATATTATGACAATAAATAAACCTTAAGACTTCGCAAAAATACATGAAAGAACAACTAGATTATAGGTAGTGTTTACTATACAATGGTATACATTTACTAACATTTATATATACATAAAATATTAATGCTCTCTTCATTTTTACATACTTTATCTTTCTGCTATTCTGCCGCTGAGATTACTCTTCTATATACCTCCTGGTCGAGGTCGAACAACCCAACATCTAAACTGAAATGACCATTTAAGTAAATTCAAACTCAAATTCCATGAACGATCCGATGCTACCATTTGAAAACGCTGGCTAACATTCTGTACAAGGAGTATTCTTGATCTGATATAAAGAAACAACTGGTTTTCAAGCAGTTTTCAATGAATCACTCAACTTACATGTACAGTCTGCCATGCTGACGCAAATGGCGCAAATGGATAGTTCTAGAGGCAGTAAAACAATCTAACATTACCTTATCTAATTTTCGTATCAAAGGTCAAATTTCTTTCCTATTATAAAACTACGATAAGACTGCTGACAAAATGGAATAAATACATTATTGACTCAAAATAATACATCAATAAACTTTATCTCACGGATGCTGTTCACAACAAAGTTTCATAGGAGAATTGACTTCAAGCTTTATTTTTCCCAGATATTTGTATTACATTCATATGAAGTCTGGGTTTTTTGTTAATGCGAAGACAATATTTCTATATCTCTATATGTGTTACACAGACAGACTATTTTGCAGACTGTTCTGACTGACTCTAATGTCAGAAAGAATAAACATACTGTAAATTCAACATACATCGAAACATGTGTAATTTATATAATAACTTATCCATGCCTGTACAATTGGTATGTTCCTGCATAAACAGGAGTAAATAAATAAATATCTATACGTCGACCTGGCCCAAATGAAAATGCGTCAAGACGAAAGCCATTGGGGATGATAACACAGCTCTTGTCGAATGGCTATGCGAACAGCACATTCAGATGCCGCAATCCGAAGTTCATTGTCTTCAAAGCTAAATGACAGAAATGATAAAGAAAGAGTAAGTAAATTACAAGATCCCTAACCGCTACCGCCTTCACCGTAATCTTCAGTTGTTATTCACGGCGGTCAGTGTAACAGTTTATAGTCGTCACCTCAACCGTTCGATGGCAGTATAAGTGTTCAAACCAGTCAGTATTCTTTGATTGGACAATACAGTATGGCACAAAAATCCAGTCCACAAAATTCGCCTCAATCTATAGCAGCTACAGATTCAAATATAGCACTACCTGGTTTACTTTGGTTAGTCCCAGCCGATAGTACTGGAAGCAACAAAGACAGTAAAATTGCTCCCCGATTATCAGGTGGGATGATCAGTCAGTTACCTCAATCGGGTGTGGTAGAAATCCATCATTCATTCCCATTAAATCCACCGCCGTCTAATCCAATACGTGCTGATTTACTGAATCTTAGTCCACCGTCAAGCACTCCGTTGAATACGGTTAATACAACTGACTCTAAGGTGACTATAAGTGGTAGTACTGGCGATGGTGTTGCTGGCATGTCAACTGTTGCAGATAACCTGCGAAAACAGCTGCTGACCTTGACGCCGAAACAACCGAGATTCAAGAGTGAAAGGAACACTCTAATCCAGATATTGTTTGCGCATTTGTTTAGGGATGAAATTATCGATTTGTTAGGAAACCGGTCTTCAGTGAATCATAGAGGCAAGGGTTATGTGCTTCTAGGATTTACAAGGATGGCTGTTTTAGAATGTAAAATATTCCAATAACAATACCTTTACATACAAATTGCGTACGTGTATACTATTTACCATGGATTCGAAGTAAAATTTTGAGAAATGAAGTGAGTGAGAAGATGAATGTGCGCGTCGGAGAATAAATTGTCATAGCGTCAGACTTTACTGGGAGGAATCAGTGACCTCTTGGATCACGCAGTGGGTGTTGGCTAGTAAAGGAAGTATAGTTGGACAAGTAGGGAAGGCGGCTAAAGGGATAGTGGTAAGGGATGTTATGGAATTCTGTCTTTTGGAAGCCGACGATAATAGGGCTCATTATGGCGGTGTCTAGGCGTACTGGTGTAAGTCTGGGTAAGCGAGGGAAATATACACTAGTTGGAAGTGTGTCTGTGCATGTGTTGTGCAAAGGTTACTTGTATAGGTATGGGGAATGCACTTTGCTGTCTATCGAATTTCTTCCTTACAACTGGTCCTTAGTGTGGGCGTGCCATGCAATCATTTACTTTGATAGATGAATGTATTACTGTAAGTATTATTTTAACTGTTTAGTGAAGAAACTACTTTTCTTCTAACGGGGATTGCTAAGTATAACGTTGAGCCCTTATAAACTAAAGCTGTACTTTGTGCGCCATTTTGCATTCTATGTTAATTAGACGGTTTGCGATTCGTAGGATCGCTGTACATTTTTTAAATGAATGCATATTTTGTCAATCGCGAGTGGTTTTTATGGTTAGCCATTGTGTTTTTGGTGCCTGGAGGCCAAATGACCCCACATTTAAGCTTTGTACAATGTTAATCCGACACACCTTTTGTAAATGTGTACGTTTCACAGGACGTTATTCTCTCCCTAAAATAGATTTTAGTTGCTTCTTGTCCAGATTCTCAAGTTCATCCTTGAATTCCGGAAGTAAACCAAGATTGTTGGGATAAGAGTTTAAGCTCTTTTATGGGAGTCTGAAGCAATTATTTAAAAGGAAATTTGAACTTTATAGTTCGCGACAACTAGTCATTATCAGAACATGTTTATTTGTTGGTGAAACCACGAGAGCACATCAATGGTTTATATAAATGCCTCAGGACTAACTAACCGTATGTTATTAAGGAAGAAAATGCTGGGGATATCTGTGAGTTCTGTAGTGCGCACTCCACAAGACTGAGCATTAGGAAGAGCCATGGCGTAGTAGATTTGCCTTCCAAGTAGTATGGAATCTATACTAAGAATGTTGTTGCAGCGCAACGACACCCTACTGGAGTATATAATACGAATGAAAGGAGTAACTGCTAACTGTATAAATGGCTTGAACAGAATAGGTTTACCGGAGTAAATCAATTATTTTTATCGTTTCCTTTAGATCCTATAGGAACTTAGGTCTTCAGCCACACGTCTGTATTGTGTTCGGCTTTCCGCCACGTCTGCCTACATACTTTCATATCCTCTTCGCATGATCTCCTCCATGTCACCCTCGGACGGCCAAATCGCCGCTTCTCATTGGGGTTTCACTCGAAAGCCTGGCGTGTGATATCTCTCGATGGTTTTCCCAGAGTATGGCTTATCCACCTCCATTTCTTCCTGCATATATATAAATATATCTATGGTCAAGTAAAAATTGAAGTAGAATATGCAAAAACGTCTTGTCAGAAATTGCATTCAGAGATTCGTAGAGGTAGAGGTGTCTCAAAAGTCTTTATAGGGTCCACATGAATTCATTCCGAAAAAAGCTGAGAAAAATAGTGTATAGCGGAGGCAGAAGCATCATCTTTTATTCAGATCTAAGAAACCCCTACTCCCCTCTAGGATAAATACTTAAATTCATACTTAAATCTCTGGCTATTAAGGTGCACACTGCCCTCCCTACGAGTTTGAGTGTTTCGTCTTCGTGATGACTGACATGTCCGAGGACCATCAGTCTTCCTTTGCATAAAAAAGTGTGGATATGATAGAACGATAGTAATGGCTGTGTTGGAAGTTGCACAGTAATTTAAATAATACTTATCCACGCCTGTACAACTGGCGACCTCAATGTTAATGATTTTTTATTTAATTAATAAATTTCATTCTATTCCAATACGTTCTCGGTGAAATATAGGGTTTCAAACCAGAGCTCTGAGGTTTCAGTAGCAGTTGTGCTTTTTAAGAGTTGGGATTGCTGGCCTCATGCCCAACCTTCCCCTCTACCGGCCTTGCTACCAGCGTGCACCAAAAGAGGATTGAACCCCGGACTACATACATATTTGGCGAGCATCCTACCACTGTGACACCAAAGCACTAAAACTAATGATAATGTCAATATTCATTCTCAGCGAATTGTACGTGAGAGATGCCAGTTTAAAGAAATTAGAGATATAGGAGGCATAATAATGTGAAATCAGATACTTACGCATAGGTTATACAGAGTGCAATCTCTTATGCACAACGAGAGTATTTATTCTCAAATGATGATAGAAAGAGTGTCATGCAATTTTTCCAACTGAAAATTAAAGTTTCAGTGAACCCATCGGACACAAAATTTGAAACATGCGTTACAAATAGTTTGTGTAACGCCATGGAAACCAGTATAATGCTACTAAACAAGTTTCTTTCTCTTCTTTTTCAGAAAGAAACGTCAACGTGGCATCACTAGAGCAAGAGGAAGATCGGTTCTCTAAACTTGTTATAAATGACGACAACTAACTTGTACCCCGGGCTATTCAAGTCTCGTTTGCTTGAAATAAACGTATCTTCCACGCCGTCTTTGCCTTCTCCCATCGTCCGTCGTGCTTGTGGTCTGTGTGTTATATTGGTGTCGGAGGTACTCTCTCTACGCAGAAACATGGCAAATCACCCTGAAGACGTCCTTCCCAAGCTTTTTCCGGAGGAATGTGCCCCCACATTGCCAAGCATCCCGTCACTTCCTCGCCCACCCATGTTCTAGCTCTCCGCAAACTATCGACTTTGGAAGGATCGCATGCAAGCATACCGTGACATCGCTCCCGTGAGTCACCATTTCATCTACGTTTTCAACAGCCTGTCTGATGATGCTCACGCTTGTGCAAAGGCGGCCGGATTCAGCAACGCCAACTCTATGCGTACCAACTGGGAGATACTCGACCAATGCTTCGACTCTGGGCAGAGCTCGCAACACACCATGCTCAGATTCTACTCTCGTCGACAATTATCAGGTAAGAGTTTCCTGGACTACTTCCATGCCCTCCAGCTCCTGGCAGCTGGCCTTGACTGTCACAAGGACCTCCCCAGCCGAGACCAGGCAGTGTGCACACGCTTCGTCGAGGGAATGATGCACGGAGAACAGCGCACACACCTACGACGTCAGCTCCCAACCAGCACAGTCGAACTACAGCGAATTATCCTCTGTTCTATGGGCGCGGAGAATGATTACACGCATACACCCAGCAGCTCTCTATGTCCACTGCCAACAGCACCCACAGCAGCCGCCACGACTCTCGTCCGTTGTGACCGTTCCAGAAGCCAACGGCGTTCAGATGGGGACGCCACGCGTGGATGTTACTACTGCCAGCGTTATGGGAAGAAGGCCTGCAAGTGCGGGCACAACCGTCAGCCGGACCGCAGTAAGTCCCCTATTTTTAACTTGTCTACATACTCTCGGTCATACCAACCTTTGACGTTATGGGGATATGTTAATGGCGTACCCTCTAAAGTTCTCTTAGATACTGGTGCGTCGGTTTCGCTGGTAAAGGCTGCCTTCCTTCGACGCTTGCCCCAGCACTCACCCCCAGTAACCACACATAACATCTTGACGACGGCTAACGGCACTAAATTGCAGGCTCGATCTGCTACAGATCTGCAGCTGCGCCTGGGAGACCTAAATGTGTACCAGTGGTTCCTTATCTGTACGCAAATAACACGGGACCTCATCCTCGGATTAGACTTCCTGACGTCCCACCAAACCCTGATAGATATTGCCAATGCTCGCGTCACAATTGATTCTGTCCCTGTAGCCTTATATAGCCCTCAAAAACAGCCCTCTTCGGTGTTAAGGGTACCAGTATCTACCACCTTAAATCAAATTTCAGTTGACCCATCCGCTCCTGCTCCTCTCCGAGAGCGAATGCTAGAATTAATTGGCAAATACGCGGATGTGTTTGATGATGGGGCTAATCCAGGACGAACTGGAGTGGTCCAGCACCGTATCGATACCGGCAGCCATCCGCCGGTACGCCAGCTACCCAGACGCATCCCGGTGCATTATCAGCCCCAACCAGAACGTTTGCTACAGGACATGCTGGATAAAAGGATCATCGTACCTTCCTCGTCCCCATGGGCGTCACCTATTGTGTTAGTTAAGAAGAAAGATGGATCCCTCCGTATGTGTATCGACTACCGCAGGTTGAATGCCGTGACGAGACGTGATTCCTTCTCGATTCCTCGCATTGACTCTACTCTCGACGCACTGAGTGGCTCGAAATGGTTCTCCACGTTAGATTTAGCAACTTAGTATTGGCAAGTTGAGGTACACCCTGCCGACTGTCCAAAGACTGCCTTCATCCTTCCGACTGGGTTGTATGAATTTCGCACCATGCCCTTTGGTTTGTGTAATGCCCCCGCCACTTTTCAACGGCTGATGCAAGTCGTCCTGGATAGGTTAGTTCCATACCAATGTTTAATATATCTTGATGACATCGTTGTCCACGGAAAATCTCCAGAGGAACACACAGATAACCTACGTACTATCTTTCAACGCTTACGCACGGCTGGCTTAAAGTTAAAACCATTTAAGTGTACCTTTCTTCAGCAAGAAGTTATTTTCTTGGGTCACCGTATCTCCCCAGATGGCATCCAGACAGACCCAGCGAAAACTCGCCTCATCTCCGACTGGGCCGTGCCTCAGTGTAGTAAAGACGTTCGCAGCTTCTTGGGTTTAGCATCGTACTATCGTCGTTTTGTCCCCGCATTCGCCACCATAGCATCACCTTTACATCGCTTAACGGAGCAGGGTCGAAAATTTTTATGAACTAGTGAGTGTCAAAATGCCTTTAACGAGTTGAAGAAACGCCTCACGTCATCACCCATCCTC